GATATTCCGCAGCTGGGTGGTACAGGGGGCCGAGCCAGGCCTTGCTGCCGCTGGGGGAGAGTGGGGCTGACTCTGGGGGGCATGGTAGGCGACGAGCTTAGGGAGGCAGGAGGCGCCAGCCGGGTCCCTGCCTACCAGATGGTCCAGTGAGGCAGACGCTCTCATCTCCATGTTCATTGTACTTCTGGGTAAACTGAGGCTGGGCACCCCGTTGGGGTGGAGTGGGGGCTGAGCCACAGAGGCAGCTCGAACCCTGGGCTCCAGGGCTGTCTGGTGAGAGCTGGAGCCGGAGGAGTGGGTGAGGTCTGGCAAGCGCCGGGCTCAGCTTTCCAAGGATGGCTGGGGCCAGGCACCGGCCTGCAAAGGTGGGTCTGGGCCCAGGCACAGACGGTGCCAGGGGAACAAAAAGGACACAGGGCTGGACAGGTCAGGGGTGAGGCACAGCCGGGGAGAGAGGGTGAAGCCCAGCCCTGATCCTGGGGCTCCTCAGTGGAGGCCCAGTGAACCCCTGAGGACCACACAGGGGGTCCAGCAGGTGGACATTCATGGGGGAACTCTGTGTCCCCCTCTGGGACCCCACTCCTGGCTTCCCCTTGACCAAGTGCGTGAGGGTGAAGGTCAGGGGGACGCCCCCTCTGAGTTCAGCCCTGCAGAGAGAACAAAGCGCCGTGACCGGCCTCGTCCTAGCTCCACCCAGCGCCCACTCTGCCCAGAGCACCCGGGCCTCCCTCCTGCTGTCCCTGAAGGGCAACTTTCCAGCCTTGGATCCCTGGCCCTAAACCTAACCCTAACCCTAACCAAGGTGTCCCCGGGGGCCTGGCACCCAGCCCCGCCCTTGGCCCTCAGCCAGGGGCACACACACAGTCCTCAGCCTTCCCCACCACCCCCGGAGTCCCCCACACCCTCTGGGGTACCTTTCTACCCACACCTGAGCCCTGTGAGGTCCTCTCTGTTAACTTGTGGTGGTTTTCATGTCATCTGTTTTTGTTGTTGCTTACAAATTATATTGCTTTAACGTTTAAAGAAAAGTTTAGCTTTGGGGGAAATAATTTCAAACCCACAGATAAGTTTCAAGACTAAGAATTTGACAAGGTGCATCTGTACCCCCCTCACCCAGGGCACACGTCCACTTTGCCATTCGACCCCTGCTTCTCCGCCTCTCAGCCTCTGTCTCTTTCTCTGTCTGCCTCTGTTCGTGTCGCGTTGCCTCTCTCTGTCTCTCTGTCTCTCTGCCTGTGTCTGTCTCTCTGTCTCTTGTCTCTGTGTCTCTGTGTGTCTCTGTCTATCTCTCTCTCTGCCTCTGTCTCTCTGTCTCTCTGCCTCTCTGTCTCTCTACCTCTGTCTCACTGCCTCTCTGCCTCTCGGTCTCTATCTCTCTCTGTCTCTTGTTCTCTGTCTCTCTGCCTCTTTGACTGTCTGTCTTTGTGTCTCTCTCTGTCTCTCTGCCTCTGTGTTTCTGTGTCTCTCCATCTCTGTCTATCTTTCTGTCTGTCTCTGTCTCTCTGTCTCTGTGTCTTTGTGTCTCTGTCTCCATGTCTCTCTGTATCTCTGTCTCTGTGTCTCTCTGTCTCTGTCTCTGTGTCTCTGTCTCCGTCTCTGTGTCTCTGTCTCCGTCTCTGTGTCTCTCTGTCTCTGTCTCTCTCTTTGTCTCCGTCTCTCTGCCTCTCTGTCTCCCTCCTTTCCTCCTAAAGACTTTAAGGTCTGTTTCCTTGGAATGCAGATGTTGTTTTGTGTAACCACAGTGCAGCTGTGAACTTGAGCACGTTCACCGCGGACGCTGCTTGTTATCTTGTCTGCCAGTCTGTGTCCTGATGGCCGCTCCCATCGGCGGGGGCACAGGGCAGGGCCCTCTGCGTCACCGCGGCCTCCTAGCAGAAAGGACATGTCAGGCTCTTCCTGCACGTTTCCTGCCCCACCCTGCAGTCAACCCTTCTTCCGAGGAGCCCTGGGTCCTTCAGGGGAGGATGGTTTTAGAGAACAGGGCCTGGGGCCTGATATGCTCCTTGATACTGGGGTGTCTGCGTCTGGGTGGCTCAGTCTCAGAGCAGGAAACGCCCACGTGTGCAGAAGCACCCACACCTGCCCTGCACCCACGCCTGCCTTCCCCGAGGAACCCCTGCCTTCTGTCTCCAGCAGCCACAACTTCCAGGGGCGCCCCGTGCACTTCCTCCCACCCCTCCCTCCTTGGCCCGCTGTGCCCAGTCTTCCCCAACCCCTTCCTGGCCACAGCCCAGCACGGGTTACCTGGGACTTCAGAGGCCATGTCCTCCCTGACCTCCGGAGTCATGCACAGGCCTGCCCACATCCCCTGCCCTGGGCCTGTCCCCCTCCTCTTCTGGGACTACCCTGGGGCTCGTGGTGGCTGTCCTGGCTGCCCTGGCTGCCCCCACCCTCCCCCTCTTCTCCTCTCGCCCTGGCCTTGGGCACCTCTGCCCATCAGCTCACCCCCCAGGACACCCACATCCACATCTCCAGCCCAGCACGGCTCCAGCTGCCTGGGCCAGCTCTCCCCTAGGAATTTCCACAGGGCCCCCAAACCCAGCAGCCCCAAAGTGAGTGCCTCACCTCCTCCCAAAGCCACTTTCTCAGGGCTCCTGCCCTGGAGAACAGTCCCTGCCCACCCGTGCCCCCAGCAGGTGCCTGCCTTCCTCACGTCCCTCAGCCAACAAGTCCTGGGGACCCAGCCCCTTCCATGTCTCCGTTCCTCACTCCCCCGACCCAGCGGTGACTTGCTCTGTGCTCCACCCTGCTGAGGTCTTTCTAGAACGCAGAGCTGGGGGACAGCCACACGCAGCACTGGCCACAGGCCTCACTTCCAGCAGGGACGCCAGCATCACCCGAGGGGGAAGGAGCCGGGCTCAGGGGGCGCCGGTTTGATATTTGCTGGCTTGCTTTCCGCAGGCCTCTCACTTACTCCTTCATTTACTCCCTCACTCATTTGTTGGAAATTTAACAAACACCCGTGCATCTACTATCTAGCCCAAGAATTAAAACATTCCCCAAACCTACATCAGCGTAGGGGTCCTCTCCATTCCGCCCCTGCTCTGCCCCCACCCCACCCACCCCAGAGGGTCACTCTTTGGAATTTCGTGTTTGTGTTCAACATTTCCTTGCTTTGAAATAAAAAAGATAATCTTCCCGCGTAGCGCGTCCGCCCCGGCCGAGTTGAGTCTTGTGACTGGGAGCCAGGTGTGATGCTCCTACCCCAGCTCCTCTGCCACACTCCTCTAATGCCCTGTAGGATCGGGTCCAGCCCCTTTCCCAGTGGGCACAGGCTCTGGAAAGCTGCTGTGTCCCCTGCAAGGGGTCCGAGGCCAGGCCCCACCGCCGCCTGTCCCTTGCTCTGCCTGCTGCCCGCCTGGTTCTGCATGGGATGTGCTCCGGCCTGCACCACCCTCTGCCTCCGCACTTGTCCTCCTTCAGGCCACAGCTGAGGCTTGGCCTTGTGCAGCGTCCCCCCAACAGGCCAGGTCTCTTCTGTGCCCCACGGCCTCCTACACCCTGGGCCACGCCTGGTCCCATCATCCTGGCATGGGGTGCCATGCACCTCCACCATGGCTGCACCCACCAGGCAGTGCCCCCTTGGCCCCAAGCTGCCCTGCTCCATGAGTTCCCCTACAGAAGACTCCAGGAGAAACCCCGGGTGGGGGGTTCGGACTGGCGTGGGGCTCTAGCTACAGAAAAGATCAGAGCTGAGTGCCAGGGCTGGAGGGTGCCCGGGGGGGCAGGGGACTGCACACAGCCAAGGCCGTTCCAGGCGCCCACTGACGTCAGTCCCTCAAGGCAGCCCGAGGCGGAACTGCTGCTGCACGTCCTACCTCCGGCAGATCAGTCGAACAGACCTCCCGGGGACAAGGGCAGAGCGCGGGCTGGCAGCTCCCCAGAGCAGATCAGAGCACAGGGACAAGGGCAGAGCGCGGGCTGGCAGCTCCCCAGAGCAGATCTGAGCACAGGGACCTTGGCGTGCCTGCTCTGTCAACCTTCAAAGAGCAGGGCTGATAACGCGGCCTTGCTGTCACCGGTCTTGTCAGGACCTGTCAACTGCCTTGTCCTTGGAGGCCAGATGGGGCTGGGATCTTGGGGCTGAGTGGAAAAAAGACTTGGGAACCGCACTGGGGCCAGGTCAGGGCCAGGACCAGCCCCTGCCCAATGGGCACAGGTCTCTTGGTCCCCTGGCATGGTGAGGACTGACACAGCCTGCCTTTCAGGGTAGCAGTAAGGACCAGTGACCAGGCCGGCCAGCCCCCAGCACCATGCTGGTCCCCAGCCCGGAGACTACCAATTTGGCCTGGTCACGGCCCACCATGCAGGCTCGACCCTCCACGCTCCCCGTGCCCAGCCCTACCCCCAACTCAGGCCTCAGCCCTCAGGGCAGGGGGCAGATAGGAAAAGCAGGGAGGCCCCGGGGCTGGGGGTCTGCCCCTAAAGTGATGTGGGAGGGGGATGAGCAGGAGGATCTGGGGGTGGGCACATGTGGACAGCAGCCTGGGGTCTAATGTAGCCCTTGGCTTCCTGCCTCAGATGAGCTCCCTGAGGAGGGGCAGCTTGGGAGGAATAGGGGGCCGCCCCCAGCACTGCGGGGGCTACGCGTGTGTCACATGTGTGGATCTCTCTGGAGCCCCGGCAGGGCCTTTGGATGGCTGTGCAAATGGGAGACCTGTTCATCTCGGGAACTCCCACCCAGACCTGGCTCGGTCCCGCAGCCTCCGTCCCCAGCCCTGAGTATTGGACGTGCCCAGGCCGAGCCCCAGGAACACCAAGGGACCTATCAGGACCCTCACCAACCAGCCCCATGCAGCCTGGGGTGGATTCCCCTGTAGGGGCCTTCCCAGGCTCACCTCCTTGCTGGAAGCAGCTTCCCTCCCAGCCTGAAATCCCCAGGCCCCGTGTGGCCTCCTCCCGGGCTTTCCCCGCTGGCCACTGACCACACTGCAGGCCACGGATGTGGGGGTCCAGAGCATGGCCGATGAGGCTGGGGAGAGCCAGACCAGACCAGCCACGGGGATTCAAATCCTTTATTGACAGTGAAGGTGAGGCCAGCCCTCCCTGGCAGGCTCTGGGTGCATCCCCCTAGTATGTTCTGCTAGGAGCTGGGCACCGGGGCAGGCGTGGGGGCAGTGAGTAGCCTAGGACTCGGACTCAAACATCTTCTTCCGGCCCTCCATGCCAGACTTCTCCTCGATGTTCTTCCTCCAGTCACCCACGTCTCGCAGGTCCCGCTCCTGTGGAGGGGAAGGCAGGAGAGAGCTCAGGCCCACCCACTTATGCATGCACCCTGGTCCACACCACCTTCAGCTTCAGTTTACCCTCTGCTTTGGGCAGTGGAGTGTCGCCTGCATGGCACCCTGGAGGGGCAGTGGTGCAGGGCCCCTGGCAGGGCAGGTGTGGGAGGTGCTCCCCAGGGACAGGGCAGGTGTGGGATGGGCAGTGAGGTCGCCCACGGCACCCTGGAGGGGCAGTGGTGCAGGCTCCCCTGGCAGGGCAGGTGGGAGGTGCCTCAGGACAGGCAGGTGTGGGAGGTGCTCCTCAGGACAGGGCAGGTGTGGGAGGTGCTCCCAGGGACAGAGCAGGTGTGGGAGGTGCTCCCAGGACAGGGCAGGTGTGGAGGCTCCCCAGGACAGGCAGGTGTGAGGTGCTCCCCAGGACAGGGCAGTGGAGGTGCTCCCAGGGACAGGGCAGGTGTGGGAGGTGCTCCCCAGGGACAGGGCAGGTGTGGGAGGTGCTCCCCTGGCAGGGCAGGTGTGGTGGTGCTCCCCCCGCGGCACATACCTTCTCTGTGTCCTCCTTCTTGACCTGCTTCAGGTTGGCCCTCAGGTCCATGCACACCTTGTGCTTGGAGCCCAGCAGGGCCTTGAGCATGGCGTCAGCTGACATGCGCACCCTCCGCAGCGGGGGCCGCTTGAACTTGCCCCGCAGATCAAACAGCTTCTGGTTCATGTCCTCCAGCTGTGGGCAGGAAGCCAGGTGGAAGCCTGAGGTCCTGGTGGCCTTGGCCTCCCTGGCCCGCCCACTTGCCCGCTGGGCCACTGCCTGCCCGCCTGCTGCCCGCCTGCGACCACCACTCACCTCCTTGCTGCTCTTCTGCACCTTCACCTCCATGTCGTACTTCTCCTCTTCAGCCGCGTCGATCTTGGCGTGCAGCTGTTTGCAGAGCTCCTAGGGGTGGGTGTGGGGGCGGGTGACTGTCTTGACACTTGGCAGCCATGATCACCTGCCCCTGCCCTGACCACCCCGCTGGCCCTCTTGACAAAAGTGGGGAAACTGAGGTAGCAGGCAGGCCTGCTGCTGGGGAGGCGAGGCAGCCGGGGAGGGGCCAGTACCTGCACTTCTGACATGGAGCCCGGGATGTGCAGTGGTGGGCAATGCTCTGACAGGTAGTTCTGCTTCTCGGCCTCGCGGCGGCTCTCCTCCTTCTCCAGCTCTGTGGCCGCTATCTGCAGCATCACGCTCTGCGGCGGGGCAGGCGGTGAGGGGGCTGCAGCTGGCCCCCCTGCAGACCCACCTGGGCGGCCCCTGGGGAGCCCACACCTACCTTCAGGTGCTGCCTGCGGGCCGTGATGGCCCTGTTCCGCTTCTGCAGGGCAGGGGACAGGGGGTTGAGTCAGGGCCTCCAGGCCTGGAGCACCCCCACCCTTCTCCAGGCTCCCTGGCCAGGTCAGGGGCTCTGGCTCAGGGACCAGCGGAGTCTGGGAGCTCCCGAGGCCATGATGGGCAGTCTGGGCCTCACTGGCCCCAGACCTTGCTCTGGGACACGCCGTGTGGTGTGTGACACTTTGCCCAGGTGGCACATGGTGCTGGGAGGCCGGAGGTTGGGGGAGAGGAGGCCTCAAGGCCAGTTGGGGGCAGGTCAGCCGGCGAGGTAGGGGCAGGAAGTGCAGGAATCAGAAAGAAGAAGTGATTCCCCTGTGACCAGGCCACAGCCGCACTTCCCCTGCCCCAGAAGGCTCGGGGCAGCCACTTCCTCTCTTTCGGCTGCGTCTCGGTGGGTGGGTGGGGCACTTTTGCCAGCGGGGAGGGCCGGGCCATCTTCCCTGGGCCTTAGGGCCTTGAGGCTGTGACCAATGACCTATCCTGAGTTGGGGGAGCTCCCTCCTCATCATGTTTTGAGCCCCCAGCAAGTACTTACCTCCTCACTGTCCAGGGAGAGAGGACGCAGGCAGGACGGAGAGAGAAGACAGAGGTTAGGGCCATGTCTGGCGGGATCGGAGCGTGTGATGGGGTGGACAGGGCAGGAGGTGGGCAGGGTCACTGTATGGGGGTACAGGGGTGCTACTTACTCTCCCATCCTGAGGTCCTGAGCTTGGAGCCTGTGGGGAGAGGAAGGCAGGGGTGTTGGCCGGGCCCTTGCCGCCACGATGCCTGTGCCCATCAGGTGGTGAGGGGTTCAGGCCTCCCGATGACAGCCCCTCCCTCCCACCCTCTACTCTCACCTCCTTCAAGGACAATGTCTTGGAATTCCCCAGGGTGAGAAGTAAGAGGAGAAAGTGTTCCCAAAATGTCCCAGGCATTGCCTGAGGAGCTGCAGCTGTCCCCGAGGGAGGGCGGGATGGGCCAGCACAGGTGGCCTCCTCAGTGACGCTGTTATTTTTAACCCTCTGTCTTTGGCTTTGGGCCTAAGTGCGTGGAAGAAATCGCTCCTCAGTTTGGCCTGGGGGTTCAGGTTCTGGGGTTTCTTGACCCCTAAACTCTCCTTCCAGGGTCCCCAGAGATGAAGCCTGGTGGTCAGGGCCTGTCTAGAACCTGCCTCGCACTAGAGCTGCTTCCCCAAGCCTCTCCTTCTCACTCCCGGATCCGTGCAGGCCCCCAAAGAGGGCTGCTGGCGGCATCCCCCAGGCCCCCAGACCCCAGGGAGTCCTCCCTCAACTAGCTCGAGCCACAACCTGTGCCCCGGCCTTGGCGGGCCGGGCTGGGCCTCACCTAGAATCTGGGCAGCAGGGCTGGGAGCGAGGTCAGGCCGGCAGCAGTGAGTTGGGCTGGTGGGCCCAGGGGGAGGGGTATAAATGGCCTCCCCCAGGCTGGGCCCCTGCTCAGAAAGGGCATGGAGTCCTCCTCAGACCAATGGGGGCGCGGAGAGCCGCAGAGACCTCCCCACCTGTCCGGCCGCCTGGCCTGGCCGCGTGCTGCCGCCCAGTCCAAGAAGTCTTGGTGGGGGATGCCATGGCTGGGCTGCTCTATTTAGGGCTTGGTGACGCGCTGGAGATGCCTCTGTTGTTCTTGTAAGGAGCCTGAGGACAGTGTGCCTGGCTTTGCCTGTGGCCTCAGCCGGGCACACAGCTTGGGTCAGCTGAGGGGTCACTGCGAGGATCCACACCTCGCCTCAGCCCATCTCGCCCGAGGTCAGCGTCCAGCCCACCGACCTGGCTGCTTGCTGGGTGACAGCCACAGCCTCTCCCTGCTGGGCCAGCTTCCCCACTCAGCCCCTGCAACGGGCCGTTTCCCACTTCAGCCCAGGCCTGACCCCCTTCGGCAAGCCTGGCTCCCGGGGTGAGGCCTGGACTTCCAGACGTGGCCTTCCAGGCTCCGCCACGTCGGCCGAGGGCTGGTGGGCTGCCCCCTCCTTGCGTGATGCTATCTCCCTGCCTGGGGAGCAGGACCAGGAGTGAGGGGCACGCCGCATGTGCCTCTGGGCCCCTCCCAGCCTTCCCGGAACTGTCCCCTCGCCGGGCGACTTGGAACACATCCTTCAACCTAAGGAGAGTGGCACCACCTGCCTTGGGAGCCTCTCTGACCTGCGGGGGCTTGGGGCCCGCCTGGCTGCCCGGGCAGGCCTGGCATTGCCTTCTCACTCAGACCCTGAGGCGGCCCTCACCCCCCCAGCCCCCAGGCCCCCGCCCTGCAGAGGCCCCCTGGACCGTGACTTGGCACCCTCTCGGAGTGGGGGCTCTTGGCCCCAGCCCTACCGGCTTCGCAGCCCCATGGGGAGGATCAGAGGAAACAGCAGCGTGGAGGTTCCAGCCGCTAAGGCAGCCCAGATGTGTGGGGCCTGGGAGGGGCATCCGGCCAGGACTGAGCCCCTAAAGGCCCCAGCAGCTTCCGAAGGCATCTGCTGCCCCCTGCTGCTCATGCGGGGAAGGCCCTGCAGTGCTGGTCTCTGAGGTGTTGGGGGTCCTCCCTCCACGCTCACCGGCCCCCAAACACCACTGCCCACTGTGTCCCTACAGGGCTGGCTCTAGCTCGCCCCATCCCATGTGGTCCCGACTCTCTGGCCCCCACCTCCCAGGTCTTCCCACGTGGCCCGGGAGTGGGGATCGGTGCTCCTGGGCAGGTTTCCCTCCCCTACCCGAGGGTCCGGCAGGGACCAGTCAGAGGCCTCAGGGCCTGGCTGACTCTGGAGAGGAGCCCCTCCCCTGTCATTGTGGGGGGTCCTGGCGAGTGGAGCCAGGCCCTGTTTTTGCATCCCCTCCAGGCTCCAGCCGGACCCACAGTGGCAGGAGAAGGCGTTTATTGCAGTGGTCCTGCAGGGCGGCCTGGGCAAGTGCCTGGGCTCAGCGGGGAGACTGAGGCACGCGATGCGTTCAGGAGTGGGGCAAGGGCAGGTGCAGGCGCAGGCGGGGCTGCAGGGCCAGCACGCGGTCCACCTCCCTGGCTGGCTGCAGGGGGTGCCACTGGGCAATGGGCCGCCGGGCGTGGGCCAGCATGTCTGCCCAGTGTTGCAGGGGCTGCCCCGAGGCCCGGGCACCCAGGTGCACCTTGCCCACGGGCTCAGCCCGGAGCGGCAGGCCGCGGTCCCAGACGGCCAGCACCAGGTCCACATTCTGTGCAGAGACAGGCCATGTGTTGGAGTTGGAGGAGAAAGACTGTGGTCATCGTGGTCCGGCACTGGGTCCCGCTCTGCCCCTGCCTCCCGGAGACCCACCTGGACCTGACTGAAGGGCACCAGGAAGGTGAAGGCCTCGTTGAAGTAGGGGGCAGCCGTGCCCTTTCTGGTGGCTGTCTTTCTCTTCTTCCACTTCCTCTGGTTCAGCATAAGCTGGACCTTCACGTAGGGCTCTGGGAGGGTAAGAGGTGCCGAAGGGGCATCCCAGGGCTCAGGGCCGAGCACAGGCCCCCGCTCTGTACACCAGCATGGGCAGGTGTGACCCTCACCTGCCAGTCCCGGACGCAGGCCTCGAGCCTCCAGCACCACCACGGTCAGCCGGCCTGAGCTGGGCACGTACCGGAGAGAGAAGCACAGCTCTCCCACCTGCTCGGGCTGCGGGCAGCAAGAGGGGCTTCAGCCCGGGAGGGTGATTCTGGCCAAGTTGGGGTTCAGGCTCCCGCAGCTGCTGCCCACCAGGCCTCAGGGCCCTGCCAGCTCTGCCTTGGGCTGTTACCTGGTGATCAGCGCCTCACCTCAGCGGCAGCCGGCGGACCCAGCGGGTACCAGTGCTCCAGAACGTGCTGTAGATCCACGGTGCCCAGTGGCAGGCGGAGCTCACCCAGGGGCTCATGCCCTGAGAAGCGCTTGAAGTTGAAAAGCTGCACCTGCAGGGTGGTCCCTGGCAGCTCCGCCTGCGGGATCTGAGGCAGCAGCGTGAGCCAGGCCCTGCTGCCCCAGCCCAGGCCCACTCAGCTGTCCAGGCCCACCCAGCCGACCATCCCCGACTCACGTGGAAGCAGCAGGTCTCGTCAAACACAGGGCAGAATGTGCCTCGGTGCACCTTTGTCTCGTGTCTGTGCCCGGACTGGGTGGAGACGCTGACCCGCGCATAGGGGTCCACAGTTCCCCCGGGCCTCAGGTTGGCTGCCTGCCTCAGGCCCACCCTGATCTGGGAGCCAGGGAGGTGGGCTCAGCCAAGGGCCCCTGCCCTGTCAGCTCCCCACCACCCAGGGCACAGGATTTGCACTCCACCCATCACCCCTTCCGGAAACTCGCAGAACCGCTGGTCCTGTACAGCAAGGTCCTTCACCTCCTGGCTTCCAAAGTCGTACTCCAGGGACAGCTGCAGGCGCCCCCATTGCTGAGCGCCCCCCGGACTGGACTCCAGGCTATCCACATCAGGCTGCACCTGGAGTGAGTTGGGACAAGGGGCAGGTGGTGCTGGCATCATGCCCCATCAGAGCCCTGGGCTCCCGGGCAGCACTACATGACAGGCCAGGCCACCTGACAGGCACAAACCCTCGGCTTCGCTGTGTGAGACCCGCCAAACCCACCTCAAACGTGGGGTCTGTGGTATCCCTTGCCTTCCTCAAGAACCCGCTGTGGCTCCCCTGGGCCCATGGAGCAGCCCCTGTTTCGTGACCTCCTCCTCACCTCTGTTCACTCACTTTCCCTGCCAGGAAGGCCCTCGCCGCCCCTGCCTCTGTGGGGGCTAAACTGTCCCTGGAGCTGAACTCGCCTCGCTGCCCTGGGCTCTGGAACCTGGATTTCGAGTCCTCTCTGGACTGAGCGAGAAGGAGCCACTCCTCACCAGATGGGTGGTGGTGGTGCCACGGGCACTGCCCAAACCCACCGCCTCCTTGTCCCTGGGCTTCTTCCTGTGGCGGCGGCAGCAGCAGCAGGCGGCACAGACGAGGCAGGAGACGACGAGGACGCCCGCGGCAAGGGCGCCTGCAATGAGAGCCCAGCGGGGCCCTGGGGTAGAGGCCGGGCTGAGTGCATCTATGGACAGCTGCAGCCCCCGCTTGGCTGGGTTATCCCCACACCCCTCTTGGGAGTCCCACAACTCACAGGGGGTCCCGGCGATGAGGTCTGGAATAAGCCCAGGTATAGCTGTGGTGCCAGCTGGGGCCAGGGCACTGGGAGAGTCTGGTGGGTGCCGCATCTTCCCACCCTGCTGGTTTGGAGGAAGCGGCCCAGGAGGCTGGGTCAGCTGGGAGGGCGGCCCCTCCAGCCGCTGCCCGGTACCCCATCTGTCTGGCAGCAACCAGTGCTGGGTCTGCCTGGGCAAGGAAGCAGCCTAGGGTGGCCAGGGGCGAGGGTTCTGCACGGCAGGAAGCTGGAGGGAGGGAGGCTCTGGACCCTGGCCAAAGCTCCAGTTTAGCTGCCCAGGCCCAGCCTCCTGGCCACCTCCCCACAGCCCCCAGCCCCAGCCAAGCAGGCAGGGCCTGGGCAGCCTAGTCCCTGCCTTCACCGGCCCTCAGAGCACCCTTGCCCCCACTGTAGGATGCCTCCTCCACCAGGAAGCCCTCTCCCTCCCTGCTTCTCTCTCCCGGGTCCTGGACCCTGGGCCCTGCCTGGGGAGTCCCATCTCATCCCTGGGGGTCTCATCTCTGCGGTCCCATCACTTCCTTGCCCCTACCCCAGGACCCACCACAGCTGGGGCCCACTATGGTTTCCAGCCATGCAGGTGGAGCATGCTCACTGCAGCCCCCAGGAACATGGAAGCCCAGAGGGGTCTGCAGGGTCGTGGGGCGAGGAGCAGGGCTGGCTGTTGGGGGAGCTCACTGAGCAGGCCTCAGCTAAAGGTGCATTCCTGGCAGGGGCTCAGGGCCACAGCGCCTGGGGACAAAGGTGAGGTGGGGGCAGGTAGGGGCAGGGTGCAGCTGGGAGCGGCCAGAACATTCCTCACACACTGACTCAGCCGCCGCCTGGACTCGCCCACCTGCCTGCCTGGCCACCCTTCGGCATGTGGGTGGGAAGGAGGGTGGGGTGGGTGCAGCTGCTGGCCCCTGTACCCGCCTTCCTGGGGCCTGGGGAGGGAGCACACCTGGACAGACTGGCTCCTCCCACCTACAGGCAGGGGAACCAGGGTGCCACATGGGGCCCACGGTGACCCCGGGCCCGGGGTGACTCCCCAGCTCAGCTCTTCCCTGACTCCACCCGCCCCGGAGAGAAGCAGCTGGCCAGGAGACTGTTCCTCCACGTCGGCGCCTCCCCTGCTTTGCCCACAAGAGCCTAGGGCCCTTCTCGTCATGTCCAAGTCAGCCTGGCCTTAGGGGCCCAGTCCGGGCCATCCCTTTGGGAATAAGCAGCTGTTCAGGCCAGATACTCTCAACTCTGCAGCCCCTCCCAGTCTGGGGCAGAGCAAGTAGACAGACAGAAAGGGACCCCACCCTGACTCCAGACACACACACACACACGCACACACACACACACACACACACGCACACACACATACAGCATCAATGCCCCACTCCTTGGCAGGCTGGGAGAGGCAGACGCACTCCCAGAACGGACCCAAACCCCCAGTGTTCAGAGCAGGGGGCTGCAGCTCAAAGAGGAGAGGGAGGGTCCAGGTTCCAGCCCCACACGCATGTTGTCCCTGTGAGGTCAGCAGGCCAGGTGTTTTACAGGCGAGTGGACCGAGGCTGGGAGCTCTAGTTTTGTGGCTTTGGAGGCCATCATGGCCCTGGAAGCCCAGCCCGTCCCCAGAGCAGAGGGGCCAGCACTGTGGAGGGATTATAGGTACAAAAGGAGATGCGGAGGTCAGGGCCAGCTTTCCAGGCTGCATCCTGTGCACAGGGCCCCATGCTCAGAGGGGTCCCTGCTTGGTTTAATGCGTGCTGGGGCCATCTTGAAATTCTTAATTTTGGAACAAGACGCTGCACATTTTCATTCTGCACTGGGCCTCACAAATTACAGAGCTGGTCCTGTTCGGGGGACCCCTTGCGTGAGTCACCTGCAGATGGAGTGTGGGTGTACTGGCCTCGGCAGCCCCTCGGCCTCTGGGGGACACTCCCAGGTGGGTTGGGCGTCCCACACGTGGCTGGCGGAGCGCCCCTACTGGTGGCTGATGGAATGGGCTGGGTCCACAGGGTCCCTGGAGCAGGACTGTGCCAGCCAGATTCAAACAGGCCACTGCCTCCTCCCCACGTGGAGTTTAAAGGCAACTTCTCCTTTTGAAATGTCAGAGCCTGTGTACATGCTGAGATTAAAGTAGCTTCACTGGAGATTTTTATGGTTGAGATTCTGGATAAGTTGCCAATACAGAATCTGCATCTGTGAGTGCAGGCATGTGTGCGTGTGTGTGCACCCCTCCCCTGTGCCCCTGCTTTGCTGGCATCCCCCCTCCTTTAGTCTAAGAACAGTCAGGGCGGGGAGATGAGAGCACCCCTGCAGTGATTTGCTGCAGCCGGCCCGCGGCACTCCTGGGTCAGCCTGGTGACCTTGTCCCCCAAGGAGCACAGGGGCCACCCAGAAGCTGTTCTGGAGTACCCCAGGACCCTGGGGGCGCTGGTTGCCGACGCTGAGGGTCCCAAGGCCTGGGGAGGTGCAGGGTCCCTCTGGACCGCCGGGACCTCAAGGAGGTGCAGGTGCAGCAGGCGTGTGGCCACCAGGTGGCGCCGTCCACCCCTCAGGACCCAGCCTCCCTCCTGGCTCCTGGGGACAGCGCCCTGGAGACCCTTGGGCGCTGGGGGTTCTCAGGTCTCCCGGCCCTGATCTGGGAATTCCCCGCCCTCCCTGCGTGAGCCTCCGGGGCCGCTCTCCCCATTGTCTAGCTTTGTCTGTCCATCTCCTGTGGCCCTGCTGGGAAAACCTTCTCTGGGAGTTCACACCATGTTTTTCCCAGGAAAGGGAGACGGGTCCTTCCTCCCTGGCTCCCCGCCTGGCCACCGCTCCAGGAGGCTCCTTAAGGCTCTGGAAGGCAGCTCCACTCTCCCCACGAAGGTGGCTGCTCTGCTCCTGCAGCTGCCAAGCTGCTCCGCATCCCCATCCTGCTCACCCTCCAAGGCCAGTGTGAGCCCATCTCTTCCAGGGAGCCCTCCCTGGTCACCCCAAGGACCTCCAGACCTGCCATGAGGTTTTGTGCTAAATCCAACCCCGTTGGGACCCCCAGCCCCCACCAGGCAGAACAAGGGTGAGCCCCTCCTTTAGACTTCTTGTTAGCCCAAGATCAGGCACTGTTTCAGGCTTGCTAATGCTTCCCTCTATGGTGAGTCTACATGGAATGCTTTCTGCTTCCATGGGAGCACCTTTCCGTGGGCCCTTCCTCTGGAAAAGCAAGATTTCCCCGAGTGCTGGGGCTGGCAGCCCCCCAGGTGTAAAAGCTCTCACCTGACACCCACCGCTTCCTGTGGCCGGCCAGCCACCAGGCCTTCCTCTCAGACACCCGGAGGCCGGTCCAGCTCTCGGACGGCACTGCCTCTGGTGACGGGGAACTCTCTCCTGGGGGAGGAGGGGTGCGGGGGGCAGGGCTGCAGGAGCCCCACCTTGTGGCCACAACTGCTGGCCCGTGAGAACTGGGCAACTCCCCGCGTTAGGAAGGTCTCCCCGAGGCTCAAAGGCTGAGCATCTGGGCTCCAGCCTGTTTCCAAGGGTCTCTTGGGGCTGGGGGCACCCTGAGCCCTACGCAGCTTTGCAGGAGGGGGTGATGGGCCCTTCAGGCTGGCCTTGGTGAGGGGCAGCAGGAGGCGGCCTGGCTGAACCTGGTTTGAGCAGGTTCTGCACGCCGGGAGGGGTCCTGAGGTGCAGGGCCACCTGGCCTGGAAGACGGCACCTCAGGTGCTGTGGGATGTGGGGGAACTAAGTGTGAGGAGGGTAGGGGCCAGGCGGGGCTGCCCTGGGCAGTGTAGGGCAGGGGGCTCACAGAGAGCCAGGAGGGCCTGCTTGGCTCTGCCGCTGCCTCCACTTCCAGCCCCAGGCACCCTCAGGCCATTCCCCACCGTGCCTTTGGCTCCTACTGGACTAACCCAACCCCTTGAGTTCTTGGTTTCCTAATGAGCAACCCCCTTATCAGCTGGGCGAATGGCCGGAAGTCCTCACTCCGATCTAACCTCAGTGCCTCTTGCTTCAGTTGGACCCCCGAGCAGGGCCTATAGCCTAAGCTTCCCTCCCTCTGCTCTGGCTGGTTAGTCTGGTCTGGTCACTCTAATCAAATCCGTGACCCGGGCCTACCGTGGAGTGGCCACCCCAGGCCAGGGCGTTTCCTCAGAGCCTTTATCTGCTGCTGGTTAATGCTTAACGGGAAAACCTGTCCCAGCGGGGCCGGCCCTGCGGGGCTGGTCAGGCAGCACATATGGAGGACATAGCCCAGGCCCCGAGGATGTTTTTGTGCCACAGCAGGGGGACGTGTGGGCACGCATGTGCACTTCTGGGCCCCTCCGGTCACACGCGGCCCTGGGCGTGTGGGGATGTGTACGTCCTTCTGGTGTTTGCACAGGGCAGGGGTCTGTCTCCTAGTCTGACCCAGTCTGGGATGAGAAGGGCCGGAGGCTGCCCTAGTGGGGCTTTTAGGCAAGCGAGGGGACACGTGCAGGGGGCAGCTCGACGCCGGCCCCAGGGTACAGCTGAGCTACGTGCCCCGCGCGCAGTTCTCTGCAGCCAGCTGTGTAGGGGCTTTGTACCTTCCCCAGTATATGGGCGCCTTCACGGCCAGACGGGCGTCTGAGGTTCCAGGGCAGGAAGGAGAAAACCAAACAGAGCTGGAGCCCGAGGCCAGCCCCGAGGCCCCGAGACGGCGGCTTGGCAGCCAGCAGCTTCGTGGAGATCCTGGTGGGGCTCCTGGACGGGGACGCTTCCTCTGAGGTCGCCTGGGGAATGCTTGAGGTTGGAATGCAAGGCGAACGCTGGCTCTGGGGAGCCAGGAATCACTGGCACACAAAGCGAAGTCTGCTGAGTGAGCGTGTGTTTGCCCGCCCACTCTGACGCCAGCTGCTGCGCCCCGCAGGGCTGAGGCACCCTCATCAACTGGGGCCTGGGATGGCTGAGGATGGGGGAGTTCAGCTTGCCATGGTTCTCTGTGGTTTGGGATGCCCTGTGCCCATTCTCTGTGTCTTAGCTTGTATGTGCCACACTCACTTTTCATGCATACTGTCTGTGCCCCATCAACCAGGCACCTGGGGAGGCTGCACCCCATGATCTGAGCCTCCGGCGAGGCTGTACCCCATCACCGAGTCTCTGGGAGGCTCTGCTCCATCTTGGGCATTGGGACCTGCACCCCACTCCTCTGAACATGGCTGGTGCTGAATCCGTGGGCTCAATTCCTCTTCTCTGAGAATTTGCCTCTGGATTTTGGCGATGAGCACCCCACGTCTTGAAGAGTCTGGGTGTCTTCCTGTCACCTGGAAGTCTGGGGGCATGTAACCCACTCCTCAAATGGCTGTTACTGCAGCCGCCGTGTCAGAGGACGGGAGTTCCCCGTGTCCTCCCCGCACTGACGTCATCTCCCAAGGGCCTTGGGGACCTCATGGCTGGGGCCCAATGCCCCACAGCTTTGTGTGGACCCCATTTACCTTGTCTGGGGGGGGTTTGTGTTCATCGGGAACCCTGGCATCAGAATCTCTACACCCCACGCCTGAGAGTGCCTGGGGGACACAGTCTGGGGACCTGAGTGCCTGTGCAGCCCCCTCCCTCATGCCCAGGGTCGGGTGACCTGCCCCTTCTCTGTCTCCTGTTGTCACCAGGGTGCCAGGACAGCGCGCCCCCCACCTGTTGAACCCTCTGAATCCCCCATGACACATGATACTTAAGCCTGAGTGCCAGCCCAGGGCCAGGAGCCTGGTGCCTCATTCCTGTGGTTTTGGACGTCCTGTGCTCCACGTACCTCACCGCTGGGTGCACCCCCTCTGCCCTCGTGTCCGCCCTGTCTGAGAGCTGCTCATTCCCGTGGCTCTGTAACGTGCCTCTGAAGAGCTGAGCCTCCGCCTCAATCATCTGACGTGTTGACACGTGTACCCCATTATTCCAAACACCTAGAGCCCTGTACCCCACTGGTGTCAGTGTGTGGGTTCCTGTTCGCATCAGCCTGAGTGTCTGGGTCTCTGGACCCCATGGCTTAGAGGCTTGGGCGAGTCTCCGTCCATCCGTCCTCTTGACAGTTTCTGGAACCGGAACACCAATCACTCTAATACCTGGATGACGGAGAAACT